GTGAGCAACGGCCTGCGCCATCTGCCCACTAGACCTAAAAGCTGCCTCCCATAATTCCTCCTTGGATGCTGTTAAGCATGTGGTCCAGCACTAGTCCACACTATCATGATACAAAGAGGACAACACCAGCTTAGCACCTGCTTGGTTTCCAACCTAGCTGTGATCAACAGCCCGAGGTGAAACCAGCCATTTCATGCATGTTGGTGGGGTGATTCTTTCAAGGACATAGCCCAAAGGTTAGTGGTCCACAGGCATCAGTTTCCTTGAAAGAGTCCTCAACCTTATGATGCCCCAAAAACCCCGTCCCTCCCCAAAGCTAGCATTCGAAACCCGTATAGTCCCCTTGTTCACGGGACAGGATCTTTGCGCACTTCCCTGCTACTTCTAAACCCACCCTGTCGGGCGCGCTGCGTTCCAAACCTTCTCCTCGCAATGAAGGCAAAGGTCTGACAGGACCTGCGTCTCAGCCCAGGTGTTGTGGCTTGTACAGAACGGGGACTTTTGGGACCTTCCGGAAACTGTTCGGAGAACCCCATAAGGGTTTCATGAGTTTTCTCCACCTAAATACTGGACCTACAGCCCCAGCTGCTACACCCGATTCCCGAAGCCCTAAACCCCAGACACACTTAACCCTAAGTACGTTACTAAACCCTACACCGGGCACATGCCAAAACCCAAATACTGAACCTGAAACCCAAACGGGCCAAACCCTAAACCCTAAGCCATAGACATCCTAAACCCTAAATGCTACCCCCTAAACCCCAAACATGCTAAACCCTAAGCCCCCAACATGCTCGACCCTACATCCCAAGCCCTAAACCCTAATCCCTGAAACCCTAAAAGCCTCAAAAACCTGAATAGTAGTTTATCCCTACATGAACCCTATATAACCTAAAAGCCCTAAACCCACGAAGAAGCACCTGGCAGTCTGCCAAGTGGCGCAGACAGCCATGGCATGCTTTGGGTCGTGCCCCCATCCAGGTCATATGAGGGGCTCTTTATAACCATATTGGATTTATTATCCAACTGTTACTGAGTGGGGGTCGTACCCAATGTATCTGAAGGATACAATTCCACAGAAAAGGCGAGTAAGTACGGGTTTAGGGTCTAGGGTCTAGGGTCTGGTGTTTGATGTTCAGGGTTATGAAAGATATGCATGGCCTTTTGCAACAGGCTTTCTGAGTCCGTCTCTCATCCTGCACTGCTACACCGAGCTCCGCTCAAGAGCATGGCCTAAAAGTATAAATATATATATATATATGTATACATAAAGAATATGCATATACACATGCATCTAGGTTTTCACATTATGTTGGTTCGTTTGCAGAGGTAACTGGCTGAGCGTAAAAAGCGCAGGCTCGAGAATTCGCATCCGCGACATATGCAGGTCTACATACACACGGATATTTGGAATATGCGTAAAGGCTATAGAAAATGTGAAATGAAAATTGCGAAGGGTAATCTCTCATCAGCACACAGCTGCTGCTCATGGATGCAAGAGCTACCACAGCAGATCTCGGGGATATGAAACACAACGCAGACTACGAGACATGAGGAATGGGTTTATTGTGCAAACTGCCCGTCAGCGCTTCTTTTGAGCTGCAAACAAGTCGGAAGTACTGGAAAACTGCGCACGTCATGTATCTGTACTTGACCACCAATCAACGCCTCACGATCTAACCATCTTCTGCCCAAATGCATGACAGCAGCGTTCCCTTGAGGATGCTGCAATCAACTCGACACCGCTACAGGAGCTGGTGCTGATGCTGCAATTGAAACTCATCATCAACATACTAAAATACGACGCATTCAGATCATCTGCCCATGCTTGCGCAGCAGGTCCTGCTGTGATGAGACAGCACAGAATCTGAAGCGAAAAAGCAGAAACCACAGACACACACACACACACAC